TCATTGGATTCATCAAACACGAACGCTCACTATAAATTTAAGCGAAAGAAACAACCTACCACGTCTATTTCTTATTGAATTCCATAGTAACCTCTGTTCTCCTATTCTTTCTAATACCTCCTCATTTCCATCCTTCTCTATCCACGGTATCCTCATCCTTGGCTTGTAAAACTACATTTCGAACGGTTCTCACACATTTTCTTTTCCACCACGCCCACCGTCCATGTTCCGCAACCGTACACTTTTAACAATCTTTTTGAAATTCTACATTAACCGTTTGCGAACAGACCAGACTTCTTTTTGTTGAAAGCGACTCGGCCCTGCGCTATCCTCTGTTGTATATTTCTACTGCTCCTTCCATACTGAGATATCCGACTTCCTAGATACCGAAAATAATTTACGTCTTCTAATTTTTGGTCTTTTATCTTTATATTCGCTCTATCCCTGCTTTTTCTACCCTTACATACTACTATTTTTGTTTTTTTTATTTTCAAACAATTTTGTCAAAACCGCTTCTTTTTTATATAAGGCTATCTCCAAGTCCTCCTTGCTAGATGCTAATCATCTGCAAATCTAAATGTACTAATCTTTGCCCCTGTATATCTATCCTTACAAGTTGTCCCGTCTTAATGATGTTTATGGCGTATTCGATATATATACATATATATATATTAAAAATGGGGGTGACAAGTGTCCATTCTTGTCTAACTCCCTTCCTAATAATTACTTTTCTGAATTGCTGTTTAACCTGTATAACTGCATGTTGCTCTTTATACACACTATGATCACTCTTATATCTCTGTATCTCGTCCCTACATTTTTAAGTGTATTTAACATCTTATTATCAAAAAACGATTTTTTTCCATTCAAAATGTAGTTATTGCAATTACTTTAAATTAATAAAATCGATATATGCAAAAGGCTATAAAAGCTTTGACAAATATCACAAAAATGATATGTTATGTAAAACAGAATGAATGTCAACTAACTCCAATAACTTTATTTTGACTTTGCCAAAACATTCGACACAGTGGGCCATACAATATTATTGGATAAACGATAAATAAATTATGAAATCAAAGACAATGCGCAACAACCAACCAACAACTATTTAAATAAAAAGTAAGAGCAGGTAATTATAAAAAGATAAAGAGGTGTATTCCAGGGCACAATCTTGGTAATTTACAACATAAATAAATGACCTCTTTGTAGACAATAGAGACAAAATAATTTCTTGTGCTGATGATACATCAATCATATCAGATTTGAATGTATTATCATTGAATGTGCAGAAAACAGTATATATAACTTTGGTATCTGCAAAAACATACAAATAAAAGGTTTCAGACTAAACAGAACATTGCAAATATTTAGGAATAATTTTAAGCTACCTTATTTCAATCCAAATTTAAAAACACTGGATATAAAAACTAAAAATATGGACAAGAACTCAAAGTTATAATTTAATACGTCTTATGGTAGAACTGCGAAAGCATATATGATTATTCCCCTGTTTGTATTTTCATTTTGCTATTATGAATCACTAGCAAAAAACTTACCTTGATATATGTTACAATACACTATACTAAAATATTAAAAACTATTACTTAATACAACTACTACTACTACTTTACAACTACAATCTTATTTCTGAATTGTATATGTATGTAAAAATTATGGTTTAAGATTCAGTATTTCTGAATGTACGGTAGTTATAAAATGAAACTGATAAATTAGTGTATATGTCAAAAAGGTATATTCTGAAATTAAGTCCATACCTGTTTTGCTTCTGGTGGAAATATTGCTTGTAGTACAAAAAATGATTTAAAGTATCTATTGCTTCAGGAGACATTTGACCTTGTAGATATTGGTTTTGTATTGAATGATACCTTTTGATTGAGCTAACATACAAATGACATGCACCAAAAACTATTCCATGGTTTTGTATTGAATGATACCTTTTGATTGAGCTAACATACCAGTGACATGAACCAAAAACTATTCCATGGTTCTTAGCACTGCTAAGGTTTTTTGTTTTTCAAATCTCTTGCAGCTACAATACCTGCAGTTGAAACAATTCTTCTTTTCCCCTCATATGTTTCCACTGGATGCAATACTTTTTCATCTTTTAATGGGGCTATTCCCTCTGCCTCCATTCCTCTACCTGAAGAAGGGTAATTTTTTATATTAGTTGACATTGGAATTGAGACATGAAGTTTAGTCAGGTAGGTAGTACTCACCAATTAAAGTAGTGTGGTAGTATTTATTAGAATTTTGTTTACTATTTGTTTAAAAATCAAGGTGACTGAGATACAGGTTGTTAAAGTTTTATTAATCGGAGGAAATTCCGGTAGGTAAGGACCTGGCTTCAGCCTTGCGTCAGCTGTTCCCGCCAAATATCGTTAGTCCTAAAAGATCTCCTCGTAACATTATTCCAATATATCAGCTCTATCATAAATCTACCTAACTAAACAATGACGTCATCAATGTATATTTGGCAAGAACAGCTGACGAAAGGGCTACTACCAACCGGAATTTCCTCCAATTAAGAAAACTTTAGGAGCCTGTATCTCAAGCTACATTGGTTTCCGTATGGAATTAATACTACCACACGATTCTACTTGTTGAGTACTACCTACCTGACTAAACTTCATGTCTCAATTCCAATGTCAACTAATGTAAAAAATGACCTAAAGAAGTTCTACAAAACATTTTTTTAGAACTTAAGTTTCACAACAAGAACAAATTAAAATACTTGCCACTTTCGTTGGAACCTTTGTTACTTCAGGAAATAGAAAGCGGCTTTTTGACCTTTAACGCCTGCAGGAACTGTATAATCTAGGTAGAACATTACAAATTAATTTGACCCCATAATGGTGAAGACTGTACAGCACGGTTTTTCTGTGTTGGACAGAAAACACTCTTTCCTTTCTAACCAGCACTATTTCAGAAAATAATTACTTATTGTAAAGCATGATTGAAGTACTTAATACATTACTTACTTTCAGGATAGGTAAAAGTACTTCTCACAAAAATTTTAAAAATAAGTTATGAAACTACTATTACTCAGTATACGCTATAACTAGTAGGGAATTCCGCCAGTAATTGCAACCGCCGGCGCATCATCTGTTGTCGTTTCACTAAAATGTATGTCGCCTAGTATGTCGGTAATGCCGATTTTTTGTAATTTAAAAAAACTTACGTGGGGTAAACTTAGGTGTCGCCGACGCTCGACATTTCATATCCTGACTGTGGGCCTAGTCTGCCCTAGTAGCATAGATAATAGATACACAAAGGGTAGTAGGGTCTTGTTACCGCTAGCATGCCGCTAGCAGTACAAATCATAGATTAAAGAAATATATACTGTCAATTATAACCTACAAATATTATGAGTAGTTATGATTTTGTCTATGGTGATGTCTTAATAAGGATCTTACCCTTTGTGTATCTATTATCTATGATACCACAGCTGCATACAGTTGTCAATAGTTGTGTACATAGATAGTTGTGTACCTACAAAAATCGTTACACGTCAGCTGCAAGTTTTCTATTCTGAATAATTTCAATACAGTTCAGGATGTCAAGACAACAACAAGAAACGGACGAACTGTTCGAAATTAGAAACTATTTTTACATTGGAAATTATCAGCAATGTATAAATGAGGCCCAGAAATTAAGAAAGGTGAGGTTTTGTTTATAGACTTACTACTTGCTCATTGCAGTTATTTGTACTTTAGCCAACTTCCCCTGATATTGCTATTGAAAGAGACATTTACATGTATAGGGCATATATGGCACAAAGCAAATTTTTAGTGGTACTCGATGAAATAAGTAGTTCATCTCCACCAAGTATACAATCGCTTAAGATATTAGCAGAGTATCTCTCAAATAAATCAAAGAAAGAGGGTGTCCTTAAGCAGTTAGAACAAAAACTGTCGGAAGGATCAGTAGCTGGCAATGATACACTTGTTTTAGTAGCTGCTACTATATATGAACAAGAAGACAATTTGGAATTAGCTTACCGAGTGTTGCATAGCTCTGATAGTCTTGAAGCATTAGCATTCATTATTGATATACTACTGAAACTAAACAGAGTAGATATTGCAAAAAAGAAATTAAAAGAAATGCAAGATAAAGATGATGATGCCACTTTGACGCAATTAACCCAAGCCTGGGTGAACATTGCAGTGGTAAGTATAATATTTATTAATAGTAATGTTTTTCCTGCAATAACAGCTAAAAAATATTTTTTAGGGAGGTGAAAAGTTGCAGGAAGCTTATTACATTTATCAGGAACTAGTGGACAAATATGGTTCTACTCCTTTACTTTTAAATGGACAAGCAGTAACATTTATAGCACAGTTAAAGTATGAAGAGGCTGAATCGGCTTTACAAGAAGCCCTGGACAAGGATTCTAACAATCCTGATACTTTGATTAATTTAGTAACTCTTTCGCAGCACACAGGCAAATCTCTCGAGGTAAATTTGAATGCATTAATTGATCCCATTCTAATTAGATACATACTAGCAGTACATCCAGGCTCGCCGCAAGCGGGCTTGCATGGCGTGCATCGCACACGGGCGGCACGTTCAATGGGGCGCCAAATTCTCATCATTGTGCAGTTTTTGCAGTTGCAAAATATTCTTACAGTTTTTAAGAAAAGTAGAGAATGTTGACTTGACCGATCCTTATCGAAACAGATGAGGGTCTCGGAGATTGTTGGAATCGGAATGTTCCTTTGTAAACAAAATTTTCTCACACTTTTATACACTGCAAATAACAAGAATAGTTCATTGTACTTATAAAATATGTTGGTATTTGTGAAATTAAGGTTATTTTAACTGAATACCAACAGCAATCAAAATTCTATCAAACGTTACCTTTTTAAATATTTTCTTTTTATTTTTAAAATACTCAATTTTTGGGATAATTTTTAGTAGTGTATTTTTACATTGTCCTAATCAAAACACAATAACACAGTATTTAGTCATTTTTTTCAAATTAAATACCTCCTGTAACCAAAAAAAAAAAAGGACAAATTTTACACATATTTTTTACATACCCATTTATGACAGTAGAGTAAAAAGAGTAGGGAGTGGGGGCGGCATGGTTTACGGAAATAATTACCCGAGAATCAACCTCGGTAAAAAAGCCCCAGTGTAAATTTTCCCAGAAAAGAATGCCCCATCGACACAAATCTCTACTTATTTTAAACGAGAGCCAAAACGGCATTTTCTCGTTAAAAAGTAGTGAAAGTTATACTTAAGGTCCCATTCTTCCGAAAGGGCATATTCTATTGGGTTTTTTTTATGGGAAATTTTTTTTCGGTGCTTTTTCCCCGGGGAATTTTTCCCCTAGATTTTAGCGGCATAAGTCGTTTTGCACGCAGGCGTTCAGGCGGCTAGCGGCGGACTTGAGTATATCTACTTCCATTGTTAACTGTAGACTGTAGTATTTCTCATATTTGAAGCTATTTACTTTCAAATTAAATCTAAAGCACACATCCGCTTATTATTTATATAAACTGTGCTGTAGATCATAGAATCAAGTAGGAAGATATCTTTATAATGCTATATTATCAAGCATGAAAGACGAAATACGACTGTGTACAATTAGCAGTAAATATCAATAGATGATGATATACTGGCAATAACTACCTATGCTGTGCTGATAAGAACTAATAAGTTCGAAATCCATTTCTGGTAGTTTTAATAAATTGTTAATTAAGAATATAATGCCCTTTATTAATTATATTAAATTGTTATTTTATTTATAACAGGTTTCAAATCGTTACTTGGCACAGTTGAAAGATAAACACAGGGATCATCCTTTCATAAAAGACTTAAGTCAAAAGGAAAACGAATTATAATTGTTATAACCAATAAANAAGACTTAAGTCAAAAGGAAAACGAATTCGAAAGAATTTGCCAACAGTATGGACCCAGTAATCCAATTCAAGTTTAAAAAGTATTAAAGATGTTTCATTTTTTTTATTATACTGTTTAAAGTATGTTAAAACAATTTTATTTTGATTAATCCATATTTAAATAAAACAATGTTTGTCTATTTTTATGTTTATTATAAAGAGATAATTCTTCATTAATAATAAAAAAATTCACGTGAATCACGTTCTGCAAGATTTTTGTTTTGTGACAATATTATTTATTTATACATAAAAAAGAATTAATGCTTCAACCGGGAATGGAACCTCAGCCATCTCAGCATTAATTATAAATTCATTTAAATTAAATGTTACCTGCCTTAACGACGGCGTATTGTTACTAATTTAAATACCTTTTCGCACTTTTACAAGTTTTATTTAACTATTTGCTGTCTAATCAACACTTACTATTAATTACTTATAAATTCATCACTATATGATCACTTTGTCACTTCTTTGTTCTTTCTTCTTCTATTTATATCGCCTCAAACTCGTACTCGTACTGACTTACTCGACAACTATAGAGACAAGCCGTGTTCTAGAAAGTTCTAGTATATGCCGTCTAAAAACCTAGTCTTTGTCGCTGCAGCATTATGGATAGCTTCAAGTCGTTCTCGTAGTTCGCCTGTAAGTACTGGAGTCTCCAGGACGATCAAACATCATGTCCGCTGGCAACTTGAGTTCTTCCCGAATAAAATTCTGGCTGGTGTTCTTCCAGTTGTCTCATGGATGGCGAATCTATGTCAGGAGGAATTGTAGTAAGTGTCGGTTTGAGTCAGTTTGGTTTTCGTTGACGACGCTTCTTAAAATGGTTTTCAGAATAGCGTTAAATCGTCCAGTCATTACATGAGACTGTGGATGTAAGGACGTAGTCCTCGTTTTAGCAATGCCGATTAGTTCAATGATGTTCTTGAACAGTAATTGGTACTCCATATCGGCTAATCCAGTCATTGACAAGCTTCTCGGCAACGGTATGTGCTTCCTGGTTCGGTATCGCATATCTCTTCGGGTTACTTGCTAAAGCAATTCACGAATACGGAGATGTATCTGTTACCGAAGTCCGTCACTGAGAATGTTCTGCCACGTCGATTGCGATTATCTCAAATGGCGCTCCAACGATTTATTGTTGCATTCGTCCACGACTCCTTGTCTTCGGTACCTTACTGGCGGCGCATGTCAAGCATTTTCTTCACATCAGTTCTACTTCGTGGCCTATAAAAGTCTTCGCAACGCCGAAATGACCTTCGCCGTGGTCTGCTTCTAAGACTACTGAAATTTTTTTCTTCGGAAGTACCACTTGGAGCTTGTTTGTGGTTCCAATTGGACTTTCCCACATTTGTTTCAAAACGCCGTGGTCCAAGTTAAGAGAAGTCTACTGCCCCCAATAAATTTTCGTTGTTTGACTTACATCTGCCTACGATGGTCTTAAGGTTATTTCCATCTCATTCTTTTCTCTGGTCTTCGATTAATGCCTTATCTTCCCAGGATTCCGCAGGCTGAACAGTGGTTAGATTGCAATAGATTGGTGCCAGTTCTTCCTTCTCTGCAAATGAACAATGTTTAGAGTTTTCTACGCAAGATTTCTGGGATAGTGCATCTGCTTTGCCGTGTTGTTTGCTTGGGTGATGCTCAATGTCAAACTCATACCCCTGAAGTCGTTGCAACCATCGTGCAATCTGTCCTTCTGGGGTCTTGAATTGCAGCAGCCACTTCAGCGAGGCCTGACCCGTTCTCAAGCGGAAATTCCGTTAATACAGGTATTTATGGAAATGTTTGAGAGTTTTAACTACACCTAGTACCTTTCCATCTTCTTCTTCTTCCATCTTGTACTTGGGACAACTCACTACCAAGCCCCACATAACTTTGTCACTTCTTCGCTCTTTCTTTTCTTTATATCACCTCGAAGTCGTACTCCTACTAACTGATTATCAATTTCGCGACAATTATTTATGGAAGCTAGCCGTGTTCCAGTATTTGTTGTTTAAAAACCTAGTCTTCTTTGTCGTTATGTATGTTAAGTTGCACATGTGACAGCATAGAGCTGATTTTTGTTTAGTACTACTTGAATGGAATGGCTTAATCCCTGGAGCGTTTACACTCTCCAATGCGCGATGGACACAGTTGATATTGTGGTAGGGATAGTCAGTTTGATCGTCATGGTTTCGTAAGAACATGACGGTGTATACAAAATCTCCCTTATTATCAGAAATAACTTTAAATCCGATACGTTAGATTCGGTCAGATTAACAATGGTTTTCACCCAATTTTGGAAATGGGTAAAACGTTTTCAAAAGTAATTTAAAATACAAATTGTAAAATAGGTGAATCTACTTCACTTAAAGTGCATTTTAATATTAACGATACGATTAAGATACCCCGGGGTGAGTTTACTTGTACAATGCGGGCCCGATTCGAGGAACAGCACAAATACCGAGCGGCACGCTGCATCTCTTTCCTTCCGAATGCTCTTTCTTTCTGTCTTTCTCTCAAAATATCGGGGGTAAGCTCTTTCTGTTGAGCTATACCTTTCTAATGATACACTATATGTTTCATTTTCCTTTATAATAAATACTAAAAAAAAATTAACCAAACTTCAGCTCATATAGCTCACTGAAAACACACATTTAAGTAAGAAAAAAATTTGTTGATCGAAAATTTGAAGATCTGACCCTGTTTATTTCCTAACGAAGATGGTTTAATAGAAAAAATCTTTAAGTGTGGAATGACTGCGGAAGCCATTTTTTAGTTATGTTATAAGCAAATTACGGAAGCGCGTTCGACGATTCAATTAGTGAAATAATCATTATATAAGTATAAAAATATAATAAAATATATATAAATTGTTTAATAATGAACCATTATTTAGTCTAAAAAATCAATAAATCATATTAAATAAAGCTTTATTAATAAAATATAAGTGTCAATAACTAGGCTCAATTTTATAGGTATGTCGCAGTTATTGACACTCACATTATTACCTCTTACTCAGCAGGACATTTGTTTGTTGACATCCATAAAATGTTTCAAAATTTGTATTTATTATGATTATTATGATTTGATATACTATTTTCTGTAATTACAGCGATAAATATTCATTTAATATTTTTGTGAATAAACTAAACATTATATTCACTGTTATAAATAATTCTTTCAAATACGAAAATGATTGTTGTAAAAGAAATTTCATCTTTGTTAGTGTTAAAATGATTATTACTATGATAATTTTTACTTTCAATTGAATTATAAATTTTATTGATGATACAAATACATATTTTTGTTTGTTATTTTCAGGAGTTAATTATTTTTGTTAAAAATAACAATATCTTACTTATAATAAATATTTAATTTATCTTTAATGAATACTTAATTACTTATAGTTTATTTAAACTTGATAATACATAATTTAACCGAGAGAGAATCATTACCAAATATGAGTGTCAGAAACTAGGCCGATGGCAGTGTCAGAAACTACAACACAAGAAATTTTAAGTGTCAGAAACTGGGTCTTCAAACATCACTTTTTAAATCATTAATTAAAATTACTAATTCGCTTCAAATAATTATATCGCGTATATGAGTTTTTCTAGAAACTCTGAACTTGTTTATAGTATAAAAATTATTTATTCTAATTACATATTATTTTAGTTATCGTAATATAATCTCAGCTGTCATTCTTAGCGTGTCAGAAACTGGGCCTTTTACCTTATAGTGTGTACGAGTAGCTTCATTTCGAATCATTACAATTCGAAGCATTACAATTTCAACCCCGAATTACCTTGAACCATCCAGTATGTATTATTCTAAAGTATTCACTCCAAAAGTCTTCGACTTCTGATCAAAAGTTCTAACCGATACCTACTATACCTAACTCTAGTCTATATAACTTTTAAATTCTCTGCTGGCCTCAACGTTCTAACATTCATATGTACGTACTTATTATTTATAAATTCTCAATATATATATACTCATCCTAATTTTAACAAATTTATTTGTTTTACCATTTGAATTAAATAGATAACCTAATGCGATAGGCTAATTGTAGGAGGAGTTGCATTAAATAGACATATCAAACAGCTAAAAGATATTGTAGTGACCACGAGCGTGATTGTGTGCGATCGGGCATACGTGTGTGTGAGCGGCTTATCGATTCGCCGACTAGCCGCTGGCGCTTTTCTTCATGTGCGCTGTATCTGTAAACGTGTGTGTCGTACCTGCGTTCCGGGAAAGCAATTAAACCGTTCAAAGAAAACGAGACTTCTCTGGACGGCTGGAGAACGTTCCCGAAAGGAGGCAAGGGAGTATAAAAAGGAAGAGACGATCGCCGAAG